AAAAGAGAAGTCCTTATCATTCAATATTTAACCATTTTCGTCATATCTAAGCAGTATTTAAGATCATATGAAAAAATTTAACCGTACAATCCCTAAATGAAACGGGACTGGTTACAATTATTTCAGTGGACATTTCAATTAAAAATGGAGAAACGACGAAAAGATTTATACGGGATAATAATTACCAAAATAATTCACCACAAGAAGGTAAATGGAACTTTGATTGTTGTTTGAGTCTAGAACTTTTGGACGCATAGATGATGAAATGTTTGTGAATTCTTTGCGGCAATTCCAAACAGATAAAACTACAATATTATATAATTGCATTCTCAAATCATTTAACTCTGAACAATATATATGCAAGACATAATTTTTATACATTCATGAACTGGCTAGAACAGTCTTTTTTAAACTTACTTAACCAGTTGACTTTTGTCCCATTTGATTTAACAACATAATTGTGACTAAAAGCGTAGTTTTCTAACATCACCAATTTATTGAACTTTAGATGTGATGAAATATGAAATCTGTGATATTGCAGTAATGTGAATTGGTGATGATTTCATGGTTTATAAGCATGTGACCGCAAGTATATAATTTTGTCCTTTCCATATTGAGTCATAATGGAATACGTTTGATAGTTATCGCAATTAATTAAGCGCAACTAATTAAGCGCATTAATGAAAGCAATTCACTTTAATTGTCGTTTCACATTCGTTTTTTTTTATTCTTCTAATAAAGTAGTATTGCGTGGAGAACGTTCCCGTCATTTATATTACATTAAAAAATTGGTTTGTTGTTTTTTTTTTTAAAAAAAAAGAAATCTAAACAAAAGAAAAATAAATAAAAGGAAATAAAAATTTAATCGTATGTATGTATTAAGAATTATTTTAAACTTTAACCTATGAAAAAGAATATACATAATCAAATGAGCAAGATACTAATTATGGTAATTTTTTATTTAAATATTGTATAAATATCAATATTACTCATATGTATGCATTTTTTAGTCATTTTTTAAACGGGTTTCAACGAGATCTTAATTAATTGCTTGTGCTTCAACTTCTTTCTGGGTTCAATATTTAATCTAGAAGAAATTAATATTAAAATTATAAAACAACTGTTAAATAAATAAGTTAATAACAAACAATTCCTTGCTTTTTTTTTTTTTGTTCTTGTCTTACTTCGAAAAGCGTTTCTTCATAAGTTTTTATATTCAAATAATTTATTACATCTAAATGAGCTCAATATTTATTAATTAGGACTTGCAAAATATATCATAATATCGAGATGTCGTTATGTAAGACCCTATAGCGTAGCCTAGAAAAATAGTTATTGTAAGATACCTTCCCTGTAAAATTTTTTTTGGTTGCATGCAAATTTAACAATGATTTACCGTTTGTGAAAAATAAAAATCATTTCTTTAGATCCAAAAGTTATCGTAAAGAACATGTAATAATTACAAAAAAATTAAATTTTTTACATCCAATAGTTATCATAAAGATAATTACAATTATTAAATAAAATCCAATGTTTTAAAAATTTTGTTATAAATACTTGAATAATTTTTGAAATGAAATTATTAATCAAAATGGTTACAAAAAAGTAATAGAAGTGCATTAAAAACAGGAATAACAAAAAATTACAAAGACATTTTGTATATTCAAGAAAAATTAAAGACCATTACATTTTAAGAAAAAAATTGATTTAGTATTTGTGAAACATGTTAAAATTTAATATCCAACCAATCAAACCAATTTATTGACTCTTCAGAACATTTTTTATTAATTATTTTTAATTATTACATGATATCATTAGGTTCAGTTTCAGTTACCATAACATCTAAGCTGAGAATACTATAGCAATTGATTTTACTCATAGAAGTTTATCACCTTAAAAAATTCTCTAAGTCCTATAAATATCTGTTATACTTGAATTAATTTTGCAATTTTATATATCTTAGAACTTAAAATTTATTTAGTCAAATTCAAAAGTAAGTTAATGTAGGTATTATAATCAAATCCTAGATGAAGAACAATATTGAAAGAAAAGTAATTTTGTAGATTTTAACTGATTCCTTTATTTATAACTTATAAAACTCACAAATAAGCTCTAAACGCTTAGAACTTTTAGATTCTTTGAGCTTAATTTATAACTTTAACAAAAAGTAATACACTTTTTTTACAGAAACTTTATTTATTTACTATGCAGTAACTGCATAGTATCTATTAGAATGCAATTAAGGTTGCTGAATGAAACTTAAAGGTTTTGCAAGTCGTCTAAATAGAAAAAAGTAAAATTTAATGAAATTATATTAAAATCTTATTAAAATAATCTATAAAATTCTGAAAAAAATAAAGCTATATCAAAGTTTATAAAAATGCAAAACTATATCAAAACTTTAGTAAAAAATTAGTAAACTATAATTTAGATGTTTTACCAAATCTAAAATAAGTTTTTATAAGTAATCTTAACTGTGATTAAGCTACTACTAAATAAGTTAGTAACTATATATTTTCTATATAGTCACTTTGCAGTTACTGTGTATTAAGAAATCAAGTTTCTGTAAAGTTATACAAACTTTTCTGCTGTAGTTAACTATTTGCTATACTATAAATTAATTAAATAAAGATATTTAATATCAAATTAAAATAATTATTATAATATAAGATAAATAATAAAAATAATAAAAAGAAATAAAAATAATTAAACAAAATAAAAAAATTATAAAAAAACAGAAGAAACAGGTTATATAAAAATTATAAGAAAATAAAAGAAACAGATAAAGTATTAAAATTACTTATCTCTTAAACTGTAAAGCAGGCAAATTTGCCTGTGAACATAAAAAAAAAGTATTAATTTTTTAATAAAAAATAAAATATT